CATATAATTAAATGTCTTTATAAGTATACAAGTAACAGCTTTTCAAAAAGCGTGCTTGACTAATGTCATAAAAATCCATAGAACGTATAAGCTTGATAAGTTATAAACGTTTACATTGGGGAGGGGGGTAAATTATTTCACTAGAGTAAATTGATAAGATGTTGCACAAAACATTCATTTTAAGTTGTACATGTATGTTTTTTATCGGATCAATAGAAAAAGAACATATTTTATATAAAGCAATGTAACGTGTAAACCTACTGGGTTCTACAAGGGACAAGGGTTCTTTATTAATATATATATGTTTTTCCTCTTACTCTATCTGAGTTATTATTGATTAGAACTATGTACAATTAATTTCAATGGTAGGCCGTGGTTCCTGAGCAAGGTAACCTGCACTGTGTTCCTGGTATAGTCAGAGTTCCTATTGTTAAGTGAAGTGCCAGGTTCTTTCACTCTTATGCAGAATTACTTCGCCCTGGTATCTCACCACAATTCCTCTAGACTGTTCACTTTCCACTAATGCGCTTCTAACCTTTGCTTTATTTCTTTATTTCAAGTAATGACTTTATTACCTTGCGCTTTCTTCTATCTTCCTATCTGAACAACTGATTTAGTCTGATTCCGTCCGAATAATGCCTGGCAGCTGCTAGCGTCTCCTTTATATACCTACGGATCATTCTATTTACTCAGAGGGGTGAACAGCCCTTTGGAAGAGTCCACTTTCCAATATCCCCTCTGATTCGACTATAGTAGGCATGGCCCAAATACGCTACCCATTACAGCATATATATTGTTTGTATCTCAAAAATAAAATAGAATGTACATATCCCGCTGGGATTCGAACCCGCTACGTAAAGATGAACACCTCACTCCCAAAGTCTAAAATGGTTTTAGAGGATGACGTAAATAATGTAATTGATTTATGCTGGAAATTAGATTCAACTGCGTTTAGCATAGGCTATGAGGAAGACAACTGAAAATATGATTACTACAAGAAACTGGGAATCGTTACGGTCATGACTGACATGCAGAATATGTTTGATAGTTTCTTGGGTATGCCTTAGCAACAACGATTGTTAGAAACGTGGGATAAATAACACCCGTTATGCATAAATGACCCAACAAACTAACAGTGATATATAAATGGCGATAGTCGCGGATACAGGAAATATTTCCCAGGGCTAGGGGTCCATATAAAAAAATATTTGTATGAGCAAAAAAAGTAATGTATACTTCCTCAATCCTGATATTTGACGGGGCACTTATCTAAGTCGCCATATCCTACTCTATATTCTGTTTTTGTAGGAGAAAAGCCCCTGAAGGGGGGGGGCGCCCCGATCAGATGTGTTTATTTGGCCAGTTCATCCTCTTTAGAAGTTTGTTCGTTTCATTTTATTAATTTAAATGATGTAACTTCTTTAACTCACTTCACAATATCACCGATATGGGTTTTTTTCAAAGCTCGATCAAGATTCCGACATAAAAGAACGGACTTTATGTAATTCATGCAGTTTTCATTTCCATTCAATAGAATAGTCCAGGAAAAGGGCGCAAGAACTTACACGTGACATTTTGGCGCGAAATGATTGTGTCACCCCTTACCTAGAAGACAAATGGACTAATCCAGTAGTATAGAAATGCAGAAAAAAGGTCAAACGGACATGTCCGTATAGTAACTCACATGAAATAAATAGCTGCATGCAAAAAAAAAAAAAAAAAAAAATAAAGGAAATAGATGCATCAATATATTGTATCTCTAATATGGTTATTTTTCTGCTAACTGTTGTTTTTTGAATCGCATGTAACAAAATCCGATGATAATCAGCATGCACAAAATTCTTTTGGCTAACTGTAACCTCTTCGTTTCGCAACTAGGAAATATTGATCCTTAGTACTGCCTGACGCAATGACCATTAGAGGGGGAATTTCTACTGTACATTAAATATAACCATAGTCCTCTGTACGACTAGTACTGTTCCAATAAAGATATAATATAAATAATATTATCTTGACAATGACATTTGAGTTTTCTGTTCTTGCACCTTACATATTCCATATTCTTGAGAATTGAACTTTTTTGGTGCCGGGGAAACATCGATTTTTTTTCATCAGTACATTTGTTTCACTAGTTTTGATATAGAAATTTTTCTCAATTTATTTTAGAGAAATAGCTAAAAAAAAATATTTAGAGCGTATAAATACTGCAATAAAATGAAAGCAAACATCTAAAAGAAAATACAGTTTATTTCTTTTTCTCCACGTTCCTCTGTTAGACTTAAATAATTCTCATCAACTAAAGCGGAGACACCTTCGTAGATGATAACATTGTAGGTATATAATAATGCTAATAAAAAAACAAAACATCAATGACGTATTAAAGAATGAACAACTTAATTTCTTAAATTATATTTAAAATAAACTGTGTCCTAACGAGTAAGTCAGGATTTTCAGATTAAGCTTACTACACGTTAAACGTATGACGTCGCGTCAAAATTCTTTGTAAAATCTCGACGTTCTGCTATAAAAGGTACTGTATTTAGCATTATTTTTCCAATGCATATATTTAAGTCAGGTATATAAATTATATATCATTTGATTCTAAAAATTCTAAGCTTTTTAAAATGTTTTGAACGGAGCATGTCTGACAGCCGGCATTTTTTGGCCAATACCGTACTTTGTTCTTTTTGTTTCCCTTCACCCATAGATGCTTTATGTAAAATTTGGTGGAAATTGGTTGAGTGGTTGCAGAGAAGAAGCTGAAAATGTTCAAATGTTATAACACACGACGAACGACGCACGACGACGGACGAAAACAGATAGCAATAGATCACCTAATTTACTCACGTGACCTAACAAGCCATAAAACATTTTTATGACGTCATCTTTTGTTAAACCTGGTTCAATAAATTTGTTATTGTCCCGCACCCCGTCCAATAAGTTACCTGTAGGTGTCCAATAAGATTCAACTTATTGGACAGGTACAGGTAACGTTAAAATGAGAACAAAGGGCGAGGCAAATAAGTAAGCACCGCGTAAAAGGCAATGACAAATCAAAAAATTTAATATGAACAATGTAGGAAATTAGTAGCGTTAAATGTTAATATTTCACAAAAAATCCTATTGAAAATGGCACAAATAATCCAGTGAATTGAATGTCTCAGATTCATTATTGTAAACGCATCCGTGGCTCCTATTATAAATTTCCTAAATTCACCGTTCATTGCTATATAATAGATTCATTTCACAATGATTGATCCAAGGAACATATATAGAATCCAATGGACACAAAAGATGAATGAGAAGAATGCGTTTTCTTTCACACAACCTTGGGCTTTTTGTTTATTGAAATATCCATTTTTCTCGCATTTAGCACAAAAATTTAGCTCATGAAATTCCAACGGAATCTGTAATTTCGTCCGATGATTTATGACTATTTGTCCAACTAGTCCTGCGTCGTTTAATCGAGTATCTGTCGTTTTAAGGAGTGGCTGGTGTAAAATCCTTCGAAGCCTGCTCACTAAAGAGAATTGCATTTTTAAAAGATACATCAGGAATAATCTTCCAATTTCATAGAAAATGCTTTAATAAACAGTTGTTTGAGTAAAATCCTTCAAATCCTATTGCTTTACAAAAATTACCTTTTAACGGAAACTGTTTCTTGCAAATTCCGAAACATAAGAATATTTAACCGGATTTCACAGTAAAAACCTGAACTTAGGCATCTTGGTGTAATCAATAAATGGCATCGTCAAAACACCCGATTCTGAAGGTCTTTTTTCAAAATTAAAATGTACGTCTTCATCCGTGGTCATTGCGTTGTAAAATGAATACATTGTAAAGAATTTAATAGAACTGACTTTTACGCATGCGTAGTATATATAAAAAATGTCGCAATGCGGATAAATAAGACTAAACAAAGTTATTTTTCATATTCATTGATATAAAACACCTTTCGATGATTCAAACTATTGATAAAGACAGAAGAAAAACCAAAACTGGTTTTCTTTGGCCTAACTTGATGAGCAGTGCCAGGTAGTGATCCAAGCAGAACGAGACCTTACCTGTGACTGTCCAATAAGTTAACAATTGAAGTGTTCGACAATGGTGAAATGTTTTAAGTAAGTTACTGTATACAGGGTTATTTTCGCCCCGTGTTATTTTCGCCCTTCCACATTCGGAAACAAATTTGTCCCGTTTTAAATTTGCCCATAAAGATTTTTGTTTAAGATATTAATTTGTTTACTTTAGATTCGCCCCGTTTTGAATTCGCCCACTTCCTACGAGGGCGAAAGGGGCGAAAATAAAACAGGGGCGAAAATTTCCCTGTATACAGTATAAGCCTCAAACTGACCATTATGTCAGATATTAGACTCTCCTCGGCGCTAACGCGCCTCGGGTCGTCTAATATCTGACATAATGGACAGTTTTCGGCTTATAACCATTACATAGATACACTGAAAGAGTCGATTAATCATAAAAATAGCTACTGTCGGGTCAGAGTGACACATAATTTTAAATATTAGTATTTTATGTGTGTTTCCATTCTAGTTTTAGAAAATAAGTCGTTTAAAATTAAGTGAACTGTATGTACATTCACATAAGTGTGGTCTTCAACTCGATATTTAGGTGAATCGTTGTACTTTCAATTAACAATTATAGAAACTTCCGTTCATACATGTACGTCGAGTTAATGTTACCAAGCAAACCTGTATACAAATAAACTATATATGTTAACATATACTTTAGGATTTTTGTTTTATTTTTTTTAGACATGTAACTAGTACAGTAAAAAAAATGACACTGGGAACCTAACATAATTCTTTATTTTAAAAAAAGGTGACTCAAACTTTTCCATCATCAGGTTTGAATTTTTTTGTAGAAATCAATAAACATTTATCAGCTGCAAATGAGGTTTCCATCATCAAGTTGGTTCAAAAGAAAATAACGCTACACACTTGTACAGTTATTAAAAGTAACACGAAGTGCACATTGTTCTTACCAGATTGTCTTTATGGGAGGCAATAAGAATAATCGGCTGTAAATTTGCATTCGCCGTGGAGCCTTTGATTGCTGTTGTGTCTTTCGGATCCTTTTGTGTTATTCCTTCATTGCAGTATGTATTTATAGTTTGCAACCAAAAATGGAAGTATTCTAGAGATAAAGATACATGGAAATATTAATACCAACTTGCAATGAATCTAATATGAATTATTTATTTTAAAAAATCAAATTTATAAAGTTACTTTCTCTTACTGGCTTGAAATGAAGAAGACAAGCAATCACCAGATTTTTAATATTTCATTGTTACGATTCACGTGATCACGTTGAAAAAAAAATAATCACAAGAATATGTTTTTTGAAATGGATGAAATAAGATTAAATGTTAACGATAATACTTAATGTTGATAATTTACATTAGAGGAATAATACTTGTTTGAATATAATCATTTTTCATTATGCTTTTGAACTGATGATCAATCTAACAATGTGGTCAATTGGGAAAAAGGTATAGTGTTTTGCAATATACATGTATTTAATATTTCTTTTCTTTTTCTATCAAGATATTTTCATTAAAAATCAATTTGAATTTATTAATCTGTACATATATTTATATCAAAATATAATTTATTAATAATCATTATGAATATTTAGGATCTTTCAAAAATATTATATTACAAAACAGATTTACTGCAGATTACGTGAATAGACCTATTTGCATCTTATTTTGTACTTAATTAAGTGATGCAATTAGTAAATAGTGCTATATTGCTTAATCAATACTTTTATTAGGGATGTCAAAATTGTCAATAATCAATATTCGAATATTCGATATGAGTATTCGAATATATTCGAATATTCGATATGAATACATCTTGCATCATAAAATGCATATTTTCACTCTCCTGTCAAGCAGTATAGATTTTATGCCATTATCTTGGAATAAAAACTCATGTAGAGTTCAGTAAATGCACTGCAATTATATATTTTTAAAAAAAATTATTGAATAGTATACATCCAAAATGTATAATGATTGTTCTTTGAAAATTCAAAAGATTCTTTAGTATATTCCAGATTAATTGATCGTCTTACTTAAGTCAATACTGATATTGACAATTCCTACAAATTTAAACCAATCAGAACAATTATCTTGCGGTGAAATATTACAAGCAAATACTTTTTGCTAATTATAATTTCCTGATACTGATTTTAATGATATTTATTTAAACAATGGATTTGTGTGTTTATTGTAAAACTGTGTCCTTACAACAATACAATACTGTAAGTACTGGAATCTATTATACCACTAATTAAGTTAACAAATAAATAAATTATTCTAATAGATACACTCTTCACACCTTTAAGGTAATTCAAGAGGGTTTTTTTTATGATTTTGTACAAACTTGATTCAATTTCTAATAAAACTTGCCAGGTTTTTCTCTCTTTTTTATGCTTGTATACTTAAAAACGAATATTTGAATTATAAATTTATATTCGAATAACAACTCATCGAATGAATATTCAAATATTCGTTGACGTCCCTAGTAGAAATTATCAATACGATTTTAAAGGGAAGACTATTAATACTATAACTCTGAACCCAATATACCTGCGACCAGTCAAAGTAATTTCCAGTTGAATGGTTTGTGTCGTTTATAACATAGATTAATCAAATATTTAAGAGTTTAGATGCAAAATACGTATTTCATAAATACAAAAGACAGACATATAAAAAGTATACCTAGGAGAAGAAATCATGATTTTACAAATGTAAAAAAAGGCCTCCAAAAATCTGAATCTGATGAAATTTAAAAATAAATGTAATTGTTTAAGACCGGGAGATGATAAATGTAGTATCGATATGTAATTCACCTCCGTAAGTCCATGAATGAAAAAAAGGAACCTGTTGGATCATGGCGATCTGTGTCATACAGTCGACATTCTTCATCAAGCTTTTTGGACATGTCAATGACCACGATATAAAATGCTCTCCTTGACAGGTAAACCTGATGACATGCGTAGTATGCAACCTGTCCTGCAAAGTCTGTCATGCTTATTACGTTGTTGTCAAGGTATGGATTTCTACTGTTGTCAGCATTCGCAAAATCTGTTCGAGTACGAAGATAAGCTTATTAATTAATATAAAACTAAAAGAGAGAATTCCTGACAAAAATCTTTGCTAAATATTTCATAAAACTTAACATTATAATTACATGTACATTAGCAATCCAATACCTTGATAACCTTCATGGTGTTTAAATGCAATGCTTTTGCTATATTTAATGTAGTCATCTTTTTACTGTGTATACATTAGTTTTAAACATGCTGAACAATTTTCTAAAGAACATCACCATACCTATCCTGATATTGGAACTTTTCAACAAATGAGAAACATAAGCGAGATTAATCAAAAGGATTAGAAACTCGAACTTCAGTTTGATTAAATAAGTATATACTCTAAAACATAGCATATACACTGTTTGAAAAATAGAGAATATTACATACTAAAATCCATATCATATGTCATATCAGCCCGAGTGGCTCCATATCAGCCCGAGGGCCGAAGGCCCGAGGGTTGATAAGGGGCCCGAGGGCTGATGTGACATATGATATGGATTTTAGTATGAAGTATTCTATTTATCATATATTTAAAATACTTAATATGCGAGGTTACATATGGTCATTGAAGAATGATTCATGCTTGTTTATGACATTTTTATTTAAAATGTAATAGAACCAATTTTAGGTAACTGACAAAAAAATTAAGACTACAAAAGTCATTGAAGAATTATTTTATATGAATATTTAAATAAAATCAAGTAAATTAACTTTTAAGCTTTATACAACGGATACTTCCGGTTTGATATGGATTTTTGGCCCGACGGTCCGATACGTGATATGGATTTTCGGACCGGTCCGTGATATGGGGTATTGTGACGTCACCCATATCACACCGTGCAGAATTGGTGTATTTACCACTAAGTATATGATAAAGGAAAATATCACCTGTTAACTTGTTTTCCTTAATAGCAAACAAATCTTCATGAACCTCAAGGCCGATAGTTGTCTCAGTTGGTTCATCTTCATCTGTTATACCTCTTCCGTGAAGTTTTCGTAAAAGAGTTGTTTTTCCGGCACCTGCACATCCAACTATCATGCCTCTGGCGCGAAATATTTGTACGCTTCCTAGCTTGGAGTTCTTCACAAACCTTTCTCTAGCATGGATATCCCAACTTAATACTTCTTCGGGTATATTTACTAAATGATGCAAATAATGAACACAATTAATTTACTCATCAATGATGAAAAATAACTCTTATTAACGAAATATAAAGTACTATCTTATTAAAACTTCAAAATATTCAACTTTAATTTATAACGTTTCAAATGAATCTGGGGTTTTAGGCGAGTCATATGCCTAGGCAAGGGCAGAAAAAAATATTAATTTAAAAATTCTTATAAATTCCGCTTTTGTTAAATTTGGGAGTTATTTATAACCATATACGACTGTATATACAGTTATGATAAAACCTGAATCAAATGACCAAAATGGTAACACGCTTTAGTAACTGTAGAAATTAAATGTTAAATTTGTATTTTTTATATAGAATGGGTCTTTGTACCAATTTTTGTAAACAAATATTGAAAGGGTAAGGAAGGATGTATTTCTCACATTTTCAAAAAAAAAAAAAATGGTACGAAGACCCACTCTATATGATAAAGTTAGTTTACCTATTTAAATTTCAGAACATATTCTCAAAAACTCCAAGTACAATAATTTATTGTGTGATTTCTTTTCACATATAGAACTGTTTGTAATTTAAAGAGAACGTATCTGAGACTTCGTAGGTCACTGGTCATAGAAGCGGTGCTAAGGCACTCAATTACTTTTCGCGAGTGTTCGAACCACGGCTTTTTAAGTTCAGGTTGAAATTCATAGATACATATATTTTTTCACTAAAAAAAATGAATAAATAAGATAATGAATTTATATATGGTCAGTTAATATATCTCCTATATAATAAACAAGTATTCGAGATATAGTTTATAGTTATAGATATAGTATATAGTTTTGTATATAACAATTTGAATGCATTTAGTTCAAGACTACATTACACCATGTAGGTATACCAGCACGATATGACTGTACTGTATGCAAAGACAGTTAACAGGAAAGGTATAACCATCTCCCAACGCCTGAAAACATATTTGATAGAACAATTAACACGCAGTATGAAAAAATCACAAGATTTAAAGAAATATAGATATTGTCATTTGGACATTGCTGTATAAAGTTTCAATTTTTAGGTTAATCGTACGACTGTGAAATATTCAAATACCAAATTGAAATTTTAGACGGACTGTAAAGAACGTGATTGAGAGTCACTAATATAAAAACTATATCTGATAAATACCTTCATTTTTTTTAAAAAACAAAAAAATAATATTCTTTACTTGTTTAATAGATTTTAAGTTTGACAAGAAATGTTGTTTGGATGTTGAGTAGATAAGGGAACTTAAACTGTACAGGTACTCTTGGGAAAATGTTGAGAAAATGAAAACCCAATCACATATTTTATAATGACTGTGACGTCGAAGATTTTGCTGCTCCGTGAGTTAATGATATGTCCTGAAAAATTAATCAAAATTGATACCAATATAAAACATTTTCATATGAAATTTTGAAGACCAGATAAGTAAAGATTCTCTAATATTATGTGTGACATTTTGCCCGATTATGTCGTCAAATATGTTTTCTGTGCAACAAGTCCGCGTAATTTTTGAATGGCCCTCGTACATGCACACATGAATATATCTAAGCGTCATCAGTTCAAAACACCTCTACAGAGGTGCATGTTTTACCTTATAAGTTATTGTCAAAATACGTAGACATTTATTATAAAAGAGAACTATAAGCTTTTTGAGTTAATAATTTCAACGTTATCGTGTTATTATATTGTTGACTCGTCTCTGATAGTTTTTTTTTTTGTTTTGTTTTTTTAACCAATTTTTATCAAATATGCAGGGTTATGTTTATAAACTTTTATTTTCACTAATTTTTAAAAATTTTTATCATCTTTCCAATAAAATGATTCTTTTTTTCTATTATAAATACACGTGCTTTGTTATTACCGGTATTATATATTCAAATATTTCAGAGAAGGATGCTATATATGTCACAATCAATATTTAATTATAATGTATTTACATTAGGTTTATGGTTTTTATTTTATTTACCTTTTATTGGACCTCTTTATATAGTTACCTTTATTGAACCTCAAGTTAAGTTTTGCAGGCATTGGTCAGTTAGGACCTATTGTATAGAGGGTATTTAAATCGCTGCATAGCTGACCACGTAGCCGGGGTCCTCCACGTTTTCATAGATTTTACATGCTTGACGTACAGTCCAAGATGAGTAGACAAATACTTTTTTCAACGGTAACCATTTCTCCATGAAAGGTGTAAGATTGTTTTTTTTTATATGAAAGTTTTTAATTAATACATTTAAAACGTAGAACTATTTAAGAACTAAAGTTAAGTAATGTTTTTGTTACTATTTACGTATACAGGTTTTGCTGGGTAGAGTTACTTATGCCTTTATTGTTCTATTTCTGATGTAATGTACGATGTTATGTACGCACGAAGGCTATTTTGTTTTGCCGCTTATAAAGTCGGTGTTGTGGATTTAATTGTTAAAACCACTTTTGTTAAGATGTTGTGTATTCTTAACGTTTTCCTTAATATAATAGTGTTCGGTTAAAATTACCGGGACTGTTATGTATGGTGTGCCATAAGTGCAACTGTAGTCAATGTTGACGTGTTATTTTTAGTAACTTGCGACTTAAAATATTATTTAATTTAAAGGTTCCAGAGATATTCCAGACATATTCCAGCCATATTCTATCTATAAGAGCCATTTTGTGTGGACACGTGGTACCAGCGATACCTGGACCGTAAACCCACTGGGAGCCAGTTGGCGGGACTCCGTCGTAAAACGGGGAGTGTCAGGACGCGGTCGCGTTGTACACTGGAATGGATATGGACATATAGCGACTTTAAGTGATATTTATTGTAGATAATTTTTGTAAAATATGTTGAAAATATTGTTTTTATTGATTTTATTTATAGATAAAAAATTGTAAATAGAAAAAAATTGTTACAACGCACTTTGAAAAATTACGCACTTTGAAAAATTTTTTCAAAGTGCGTTAAAATTTGGGACCAAACTAACACACTTTGAAAATTTTTTTTTTCCAAAGTGCGTTAATATCGACCATATTAACGCACTTTGAAAAAAATGTAAAGATTGATCAATATTCCTTCAAATAATCGGTATGATAAATAACAGATCCTGGTTTGATAACTTTTTTATGATAAAGTCACTGTAGGACCTGAGATATTGACGTTTTAAATATTTAAGGTTTTGATAAAATAAAAGGGAAAATTAAAGGGTCTTGATAAAAAAGAGTGACGATTGTTTAAGTTCATTAATTCGTTTCTTCTTTTTTCTAAATTCTAGTCTTTGATAAGTAGATGTAAAGGTGTATAAGGGGCACTAACAGAGGACAGCTTAAAGTAACTTAGCATTTATCATAATAAAAGGGGCCAATTTGATTGTTCAAAACTATGAAAATTCTTTCTCTCTCATACGTTTTACTGTACTTAAAATTTTCTAGTTTTCATCTGTTTTAATTAACTCATTTATTACTGAAAGTTTTCAACGTCATACCAGTTAGGTAAATACATAATTATATGAATGCTGTGAGTATAGCATAGACATCGAGACTGGGCTAAGGGCCAGGGGAGGGGATGGGGGGCTAAGCCCCCACTTATTTTGGAAAGATATATACATCGTATGAGCATTGAAAATGCAGCGGACCCTTTTTAGGTTTATTGCTCCCCTCCCCTGTTTGTTACCTACACATATGAGGGATCTTATACCCGTCTTCTCCTCTTTTCGACGGGAGTAAATCAATTCATTTGTGAGGTTAGGGGTTGGCTTAGTTTTTTGAAAAATAAATAACAAATAAAATCTTTCCATGACTAAAATATGATTTTTTTTTTCAAAGTGCGTTAAGTGTCTCCATGGTAAAATATATTGATGTAGACTCTTAACGCACTTTGAAAATTTTTTTCAAAGTGCGTTGAGTTGGTCCCAAATTTAACGCACTTTGAAAAATTTTTTCAAAGTGCGTTGATTTTGTCCCAATTTTAACGCACCTTGAAATTTTTTTTCAAAGTGCGTAATTTTTTCAAAGTGCGTTGCCACAATGGACATATAACGACTTTAAGTGATATTTATTGTAGATAACTTTTGTAAAATATGTTGAAAATATTGTTTTTATTGATTTTATTTATAGATAATAAATTGTAAATAGAAAAAAAAATCTTGTTATATCTGACTGAACAGAGCACGACGGCTGTCGTGACAATATATAAGTTTTAACGAAAGAGGCCGACTAACATAATGCGGTTAGTAATATTGTAATATATTCGAGGGTTTTCCCAGAAAAACGCAAACTTTGTATATTAGATTTGTATAATATATATCTGACTACAATTATTCAAAATCTTCACCTACTGCTAGAATGTGTGCACATTTTTCACCAGAACTTTAAAGTGAAGAAGAAAGATTTTTCCATAAAGAATAGAATCAATTTACAGCTTAAATGTGACAAATGAGCTTCTTCTAGATCTGTTTTTCTAAAGTCGAAATTTCCAGAGAGATTTATGAGACGACCATTTGATGCTGGAAAGGGAGGAGGGGCTTGGAATTTTTTCCGAGTCAGATTATAAATTTTCATGTCGGTGAAAGACGGATTATCTATTTCCAATGGCAGATTATTTATTCTCATCTTCACTGAAAAAGTTGAACAAGCAAAAAAAAAAGTAAAGAAAAGAAGGCAAACACTGTCGATAACTCTTATTTGTGGGGATGGGGGCAGATTATTTCCTTCCAGTAGAGAATTATTTATTTTCAAAATTACCCAAATCCTTTATCGACCAGGCTCCCCTACGCCTTTCAGAATCAAACGATCGTCCCCTTATATAGATAGAAGCTAAAAGCGTGTCTTGACAATGTAGTATGGATTTTGTATTATGAATTTGCATATTTATTACATTACAAATTGAATTAAAGGTCGATGCTGTAATTCATCATTTACCCAGCTTTGCAGTCGCTAAAATCTTCTGTAATTTGCTATTTTCCTTCGTCGACATCGATGTTTACAGTATGAGGGAACTCTGACTTTCTCACGCTTCGATCAACTTTCTCAGAAAGGGATAATACAGAATAATTTTGGGTTTGTTCCCATTTTGCACACATTTGAATTACAGGTTATTAAAAAAAATGTGTGAAAAACAGGAATTTGACCAG